TTGAATGGGAATGTCTCCCTGCACTATTTTTCCAATTCTTGTTATTGTTGTAAATTAAGGTTACTGATTTTTGTAGATTAATTTTGTAACCTGCCACTTTACTGAAAGTGTTGATCAATTCTAGGAGTTTTCTGGTGGAACTCTTTGGATCTCTTAGGTATAGTATCATATCATCTGCATAAAGGGATAACTTAACCTCTTCTTTTTCTATTAGTACTCCTGTAATTTCCTTCTCTTGTCTTACTGCTCCAGGAAGAGTTTCAAGCATTATATTGAAAAGGAATGGAGATAGTGGACATCCTTGTCTGGTTCTTGATTTTAATGGGAATGCTTACAATTTTTCTCCATTTAGAATGATGTTGACTATGGCTTTGTTTTATATAGCTTTAATTTTGTTGAGGTATGTTCCCTCCATTCCAATTCCCTTTAGTACTTTTATCATGAATGCATGCTGAATTTTGTCAAAAGCCTTTTCTTCATCTATTGAGATGACGATGTGCTTCTGTCTTTGAGTCTTTGTATACAATTGATGACATTTATTGACTTGCATATATTGAACCATCCCCGCATCTCTGGAATAAAGCCTACTTGATCATGGTGAATGATCTTTTGTATGTACATCTGTATGCAGCTTGCAAGTATTTTGTTGAGAATTTTTGCATCTATGTTCATTAAGGATATAGGTCTATAGTTTTCATTTTTGGTTGTCTTTACCTGGTTTGGGTATTAGAGTGATTCTGGCTTCATAGAATAAGTTTGGGAGTTCTCCCTCTGTTTCTATAATTTTGAATAATTTAAGTAATATTGGTCAAAAGTCTTCTTTAAATGTCTGGTAGAATTCTGCTGTAAATTTATCTGGGCCTGGACTTCTTTTAGTTGGGAGGGTTTGTATTACTGTTTTGATTTCCTTATATGTTATGGATCTGCTTAAACCGTTGCTTTATTCTTGGTTTAACTTTTGTGATTTCCCTGGTTGCATAAGTCCATCCATTTAAGGTTTTAAAATTTAGTAGAGTATAGGTTTTTAAAGTATTACCTTATAATGTTCTGGATATTTTTGTTATCTGTTGTGATGTTTCCCCTTTCTTCTCTTATTTTGTTGATTTGGAGTTGATTTAGGACCTCCAGATTCCCTCCGCATTCCTGGCTTTTTTTATTGTGAAGTCATCCTTTCATGGAATAAACAGGTTAGTATGTGAAAACTTAAGAAATGTCTTCCCTAATGTTTTGATTCTACCCGAGTCTGGTCCTCTATTTGGAGTCTGTAAGTGGTTTCTCCAGGTCTGTGATCCTGGATCTAACACAGATGGGTCACTGAGGTGGAGCCTGCTTGCTCCCTAACATCATCCCTTCTTGGGTGGCAGGTGGCAGGGGAACCTAAGGGACTGGTTCTTCATGGCAAATGTATGATACCTTCATGCTGCCTTCTCTGGCTCCAACTTTTTCAGTTATTCTCCCAACACTCAGTGCACAGGCCTGACTCATAGCCACGCCAGTCTTCCACTGACCCAGAAGTCCCTGAGTTGAGATAGATGTTAGACTAAGGTAGGTGACCCATGGGACAAGACCTTTGGAGTGGACATGACCTTCAGTGATGTCTGTGAATCACATACTCCTTCTTCAGCTGGAAAACACTTTCCTCTGCAGCTAAATTAGAGCATGTGGAAGGGAGAGGGAGGTGCCTGGCACATGACTCTCAACTTTTCCTTAGTTGAACTAAGAGGGTATGTCTTCATCCCTGCCTTACCAAGGTGAGAGAAGGGCTTTGCCAGGACGCGCATTATGTATTCTCCACCGAAAAAGTAGCAGATTTTCTCCTTCAGAGCTCAGAGCCCAGCATGCCCCCAGTCCAGCTGCTGCCCATTTTATGAGATGGAAAGCTACTGTGCTCTGCCCCTGAATGGAACATATGTGGGGATGGGAATTATGAACCTGATGATGCTCATCAAGCTGGTCTTTGAGGTTGCCTACAGTTTGAGGTTGAGAGAAAACAAAGGAAAGAAGGGTTGAAGCAGATCATTGGATAAGACCGTTGAGAGTTTTCCTTATCATCTTTGTGTGTGCAGGTATGCATGCAAGTAGGCGTGTACGCATGGAGGCTATCTTGTGCAATAGCTCTCCTCACTTATTAGGACAGTCTGTCCCCGTGAACCTTCGGCTCACTGATTAGGCTACACTGGCCAGCAAGCAAGCCCCAAAGAACCTGCTGTCTCCCCCTCCACAGTATGGAGATTAAAAATGCGTACCACCATGCTTTGCTTTTTACATGCGTGCCAGTGATCTGAATTCAAGTCCCCATGCTTTCCGAACAAGTACTTTACCGACTGAGTCATCGACCCAGCCATTGTCAACAATGTTTTCATATTATTGTTTTTATTACAGTGACATTATGGAAACAAAAGATTCAATGAGTGAATAAAAATGCAGGTGGACTTGTACTTTCTTTGTCAATCTCCAATCATACTTTATCCCTGCTAGAGGACAAATCCCACGCAAAACATAGAACAGAGAGAAGCCATTACCCACTTGTTAGGGGGAAAAAAACATATATTTAGGGCTGTATGAAGTATCTTAAATGTACTAACAGGAGAAAGATAATTTGTCTTTACATAGACTAAATTTCTTTCAATGTGTTTTCCTACTAGAAAAGACCAGAGAGGAATGTTCTGCTTCACTGGAGTCAACACTTCTCTGAAGACACAGTGCCTTGGGCAGTGGAGATACTGGCTTGAGACGCTTGGCATCACCACTCTTCCTTTTTGAGAGAAATTGACTGGGTTCAAAGGCCTGTTGGAGGGCAGGTGGCTGGGATTCTGTGGGGCCTGTTGCTCAACGTCGAATTGGGAATTTTTCAAAGACTGCTGGTCTCTGACTTGCTTGTCCAGGACAGAACACCTCTGGCAGGAGGAGTTGGCTGTGTAATGTGGTGCTTTTCTTGGCTCTGAGTAGATGGGAGGCCTATGGCTATAAGAAACTTGGGAGACATGAGCTCCAGGAGCCTCCCTGTGCTGGTTGACCTTGGAAGAACAGAGTTGATGGTGAAGCATTATTTTCTTTTCTAGAATCTGTCCAACAGCTGTCATAAGCTCCTGAGCCTCAGCAATATTGCCGTCCACCCGTGGTTTCTTTCTCACTCCCCTTGGGCTCTTGGGGCTACCTTTCTTCATGGGTTTTACTTCTCCTTTGATTCCTTTTTTTGGGTGAATCCATTTAAGAAAATGGCTCACCAGTCTTTGTAAGGGGCCTTCTGGAGGAACCTGTGTTATTTTTGGAAGGGGTTGATGGTTAAAGTTGTCTTCTTTTTCCCTGTCCTGAGTGAATTTGGACATTTCCTTATGCATCCCCATTTTTTTTTCCTCTTCCTGGCCTCACCTGGAATATCAGGGCCAACACCTTGCTTTGGCCCTCCTGTGAGTTCTGATTCTTTGGGGTACTGGGTCTCTTAGTGTCCTCACCCTGGTTGGTCAGGACCAACACCTGGCTTTGGCCCACCCGTGAGAACTCCTGTGAGTTCTGATTCTTTGGGGTACTGGGTCTCTTAGTGTCCTCACCCTGGTTGGTCAGGACCAACACCTGGCTTTGGCCCACCCGTGAGAACTCCTGTGAGTTCTGATTCTTTGGGGTACTCGGTCTCTTACTGTCCTCACCCTGATTGGTCAGGACCAATACCTTGCCTTGGTCCATCTGTGAGACTTGATGGCTTGGGGTAGTGAGTTTCTGCTGTCCTAGGATATTGTTAGCATGTTGCACTGTAATGTCACCTACCATCTGTGAAGCCAAAGTATCTATAGTATAGAGCTCACTCTTAGAATAGTTTGGAAGGAACAGAGTAGAGGCATAGACTTGAGGTTGGCCTCCTCTTTCTCCACTCTACATGGAAACTCACTGACAGCTCTTGCCTTAAGAATGGATGCTCCTGGCTCTTGGTAACTAGTTCTAGGCAGTAAAGGGACTTCTCGACTCTCTCTCTCTCTCTTCTCTCTCTCTCTCTCTCTGCCCCTATTGCAGTCCTCCTCTGAGAAGGCTTACCCTTGGCACCATGTGGGAGGGCCTTTGAAGGCTCTTGGTCAGTACCAGATGGCATCTGTATCAGGGCCCTCTCGATTTCCTTACAGGAAGGAGAGAGAAGGATCAGACTCCCTAGTGAAGATGATGACTGTTATTACCTCTCTCAAACATGTCTGAGATGGTTTTCCTGGTAACCTGACCACCTCAACTGCTGAGTTGGCCACAGACAAACAGGGGGATAGGTAGGGCCAAGCACATAGTGCAATGGGCAAGGACTTAAGGAGCTTTATAGGTTTCAGCACTTTGAGGGGAAGGCCCCACCTGTGCTTTGCCCAAAATTTTACGACATGTGCCTCCAGGTCCTGCAGAGTACCTAGACTGAGAAAGGTGAGCTTCTGAGAAGAGCTCAGGAGTTTTTTAAAACTCTTTGAAGATGTTGTATTTCTGGTTTCCATATGGGTTTCAGATGTGGAAAAACCACTGTTCATTGAAAGCCAGGATCGACGGACACTCAGAGGGATCAGGCCTTGGCTGATCTGCTCTGATTTTGTGCCCAAATGGGTTTTCAGGGTGTTTTCTATATTTTTGTATTTTATTGAGTTTTTTATTGGGTCTCTCCTCACATATTTCTCTTGCTTTCTTTCTGGCCCAGGAATGCATACTTCCAGCGCTCTCACTGGTGCTTTTACCAAACTCATGGGTGGATCCTTTAGGATCTTTTCCAGAATAGGCCCCAGATTCTTGCCAGATTCCTTTGCTACCTGGAACCTCACCTTCTGGGCATCCCTGCTATTTTTGCTCCTAGACACTAAGGATTGTGAGAAGGCAGACATGTTTCTACCAATATATGCCCCTATTAATTTCTTCTGAGGAGGCCTCCTTTCCAGAGACTCTTGCATACTAGGGGGCAATTGCCATTCGTGTTGACTGAGCCATTTTTGAATATGTTCTTCTAGTTTCTCCCGGAGCTCGGGGCTGATCAGGAAATTGTCAGGAAGGACCAGCACTGCCAAGCCTTGGGAAAGGTTGTGGGCCAAGACATCACAGACTACTTGAGGTCTCTGGACCATATGGGGTTAAGCCAACCCACTTTCTAGCTGTTTCTTAAATGATTCTTTCTATGTGTTGGATTTCAGTGGGAAGGCCTTGCGTTTTACCACTTGGTTGATAGGAGGATGTTCCAGTATCCCTAGTGTGGGGTAAAAAAGCAGACAGTTGGGCTGGGAGAGATCAGGCCTGATGACTCTGGGCCTGATTCAGAGGTTGGTGCGGGAATTGGGATGAAGACAGAATTAAAGTTGAGGATCGGAGCTCCAGGTAGGACTGATGATGTGACTGGGAAAGCACTGGGGACATTCCATCCTGCCTCAGAACAGGATAAACATTGGAGATGGCATTGAAGAAGGAGAAGGGAGAGGGTAGAGTACAAGAGCCCCGAGGGATCCAGGCAGCGGCCACTAGAGATTCACTGTGCAGGGACGGGAGACTCCAGAAAAGCTGACTATATTTTTGTTGAAATTGGTCCCCCAAGATACTAGGATATGAGAGTTTCTGGGTGGCTATCTGCTGTTCTTGATTTTCTCTCACGTCCCAGAAGAATGGCAGGGTGGTACTGTCTTGCTTGGCACTTAGTGATTTTAATTGAAGAATTCAATTGTTGTTCTGGGCTCATTTTCTGTAGAAATGATTCATCTTTTTCTTTTACCTTCTCCTTTGTCTTGTAATCTCCAGATCTGTGAGCTGGAAATTAGGAGACTGGGTTATAATGGCGGATAGAGGGGCACAGGGGTTTTTTTTAAAGAAGGCTAAATCCCTGGTGTGTCATTATAGACCATGAGAGTAGACTCTGGAGCCTAATTGGAGCCTACTCATTAGCATCCAAGATCACGTAATCCCTGACTGATAGTCTCTTCAGGGATAATATGGATGGACAGCACTTAATAATTTACAAATGCCCCCACAGCGGTCACCACCTTTTAGCTTTTCTGGGGTAGAAAAAGTGGGGTCATCTTAAAAAAGAATGAGTCTTACTCAAGGTCCTACCTCCAAATCCTGGCACTCCCTACTGAGTAACAGCTGCCAGCTGGTCCATCACAGCTTTCTTTTGAAATGGGGTTATGATTTATCCCCAGGGTCTTCCTCTTAGGTCTCTGCAACTCTCCTGGGAGACCAAGTTTTACTTTCCCAGATGCAAATGATGTCCAAGTTCATTTGCATTTGAGACTGTGAAACAAAAAATGTAAAGGAGAACGAGGTTCTCTTCTTTCCACAGATTGTCCTCCAGCTGTCTCTCTTGGAAAAGTGGAAATTATAATAAAAGGTGGTGCTGAGGAAGGGAAGGTTTAACAGTGAAAGCCAAAAGGGACTGTGGGGGCTGTAGAAGGCCACAAGGTGAGGGGGGAGATGGGGTAGGAGAGCTGGGGAGAATCAATATAAATATATTTTGATGAGAAAAATCTTCCATGACACAAATACCCTGAAAGAATACATCTCAACAAAAGGAGTCCTTCAAAGAATACTTGGAGCCCTTCAAAGAATACTTGAAGCAATACTGAGAGCAGAGAGAGAAACAACTATACCTTGGGGCAACAAAAGAAAATAAAAATATAATCTAGGAAACACAAAATTACACAGAGAATACAAACCAATACACACCTTTGTGGAAACCAATACACACCTTTTAATAATAACCTTAAATATCAATGGACAAAACTCTCCAGTCAAAAGACACAGGCTAACTGAATGGATTAGGAAACAAAATCCATCTCTTTGCTGTCTGCAAGAAACCATCTCACCTTCAAGGACAGGCACTACCTTAAGGTAATAGGATGGAGAATATTCCAAGCAAATGGCACTAAGAAAGAAACAGGGGTTGCAATTCTAGTATCTGACAAAATAGACTTCAAAGTAAAACTAATCAGAAGAGATAAAGAAGGTCACTTCATTCTGATCAAAGGAACAGTTAACCAAGAAGATATTACAATCCTTAACATATATGCAACAAATTCTGGTGCACCTAAATTCATAAAAACAACACTATAGGACTTTAAGACACACATTAACCCCAACTCAGTAAAAGAAGGTGAATTCAATACCACACTGTCTCCATTAGACAGGTCAACTTGAATTAAATGACACCATACATCAAATGGACCTAACAGATATTCTTTCGATTATTCCACCCAAATACCAAAGAATACACTTTCTACACATGGAGCTTTTTTCAAAAATTGGCCACATACGGGGCCACAAAACAAACCTCAACAAATACAAAAATATTGAAACAATTCCACGCATTCTATTCGAAATAAATACTGGACGAAGCCCTAGTCACTACATGAACTCATGGCGATTGAACAACACACCTAAACAATGTGTGGGTCAAAGGAGAAATCAAGAAAGAAATAAAAGAATTCCTGCAATTCAACAAAAAGGACAATACAACACAACACAACTTCTGGGACACATTGAAAGCAGTTCTAAGAGGGAAATACATAGCTCTAAGTGCCTACATTAAAAAATTAGAGAGCCCAAATAAATGACCTAACACTGCAACTCTCACTGGAAAGAAAGGAACAAATGAAACCCAAACCCAGCAGAAGACAACAAAATTCAGAGCAGAAATTAATGAAATAGAAACAAAGAAAACAATATGAAGAATCAATGAATCTAAGAGCTGGTTCTTTGAAAAGGTAAACAAGATAGACCCTTAGCTCAGTTAACAAAAAGGAAAGAGCAAACCCAAATCAACAAAATCAGAGATGAAAAGGGAAACATCACAACAGACACCCAAAAGATCCAAACCATTATTAGGGAATATTTTAAAAACCTATATGCTACTAAATCTGAAAGTCTAAAAGAAATGGATGGGTACCTGAAATCATGGGAACCTCCAAAGTTCAATGAAGAAGAGACCAACAGTTTAAACAGATCCATAACATATAAGGAAATTGAAACAGTAATACAAAGCCTCCCAACTACAAAAAGCCCAGGCCCAGATGGATTTACAGCAGAATTCTACCAGACATTTAAAGAAGACCTCCAAACAATACTACTTAAGTTATTCAAAAAGATAGAGGGAGAACTCCCAAATTCCTTTTATGAAGCCAGCATCACTCTAATACCAAGGCCAGGTAAAGACACAACCAAAAAAGAAAATTATAGATCCATACCCTTAATGAACATAGACGCAAAAATTCTCAACAAGATTCTTGCAAACCACATACAGACACACATCAAAAAGATCATCCACCGTGATCAAGTCTGCTTTATCCCAGAGATAAAGCAGGGATGGTTCAATATACGTAAGTCAATAAATGTCATAAATCTTATAGACGGGCTCAAAGACAAGCAAAATTCAGCATGAATTTATGTTCAAAGTCCAAGAGGGAATTGGACTGGAGGAAACATACCTCAACATAATTAAAGCCATATATAACAAACTCACAGCAAACAGCATTCTAAATGGAGAAAAACTGGAAGCATCCCCATTAAAGTCAGGAACCAGACAAGGATGTCCACTATCTCCACTCCTCTTTAACATGGTGCTTGAAACTCTTACTAGAGCACTAAGGCAGGAGAAGAAAATTAAAGGTGTACTAATTGGAAGAGATCAAACTATCACTTTTTGCAGATGATATGATACTATACCTAAGAGATCCCAAAAGTTCCACCAGAAAAC